GCAATTTTGGAGGTTTTTCTGGTTCTCTGCGTGAGGGGAGCCACACAGGGGACACGGCTTTTAAGGGGGTTTCTGCTCCAGGGAATCACGCTATGCTGCTGGTTCCGGGCAGGGATGTGTCATCCTGCTCCTGCGGGTGTTGCTAATTCTTTCAAGAAAGCACCTCCCGTGGGCAAACCTGACTGGCAGGACGCCCCGACGCCAACGCAGGCATCCTCAGCTTTCAACAGCGACAAGCCTCCCACGCCATGACATGTCCCCTTCGCAGGGGCTGTTGTTCGACAACTGCTCTCAGGGCAGATCTCGAGCTCCCAAGCATTTGGCTCCGGTTTCTGGCTCATGCTGATACACAGAGGAGCTGGAAGCAAAGCATCCTCTTCCCAGCCTGGCTTTCATTTTGGGAGCATTTCAGGCTTTTGGAGAATTTAGGTACATGGAGTTGATCTGGGTTGCTCTCTGCATCCCTGGGCATTTAAGGGAACGCAAGGAGCAGTCAGGGCATGGAAAGAAGGAAAGGAGCAGCTGCCTCTCCAGATTTACAGGGATCAGCAGCCGAGCGAGTCCCCAGCATTAACCAGGGTGTAACTGGGAGCAGAGCCTGACTCACATACCATATGTTCCCAATCCACCGCGTTCAATCAAGCCTAATAAAATTGATAGGGGAGCATTGAGAATCTCGTGATTAATTCTTTATGATCTGTAATAGGGGAGCTGTGTGCCAATTACTCGAGTAAATCATTCATCAGAATATAAATAGAGCTAACCTCCAGCACAAACACTAGAGGATTTCCACTAGGATTGCAGGTCTGGAGTGCAGCATTGCACCGCTGGTGACAACGCGTTATCTGATGGAGGACAGAAGAGTATCTGCAATTTTGCTGCTTCTGCCCAAGGTTCCGGCACTGTCCTCCAGCATTATTTGCTTCTCTCTAGGCTTGCAATGCCATCCTTTCCCGTGTGTTTTGATGCTCCGTCCTTGATCTCCATGACCCATCAGTCCAAGCCCTTGCAGGTTTGCAAGGGTTAAACCCACAGGGGTCAGCTTTATTTCAGGAGAGGTTTGAACACGTGGACCATGACACAGCCCTCGGGGAAGGGGACGCAAAGGACTGGGAAAAAGGCCCCAGCCCCACGCTGCGCCCACAGGACCTCTGTCAGCAAGGGATGTAGTTGGGGTGGGTCAAGGAGGATTGCAAGCTCAGATACAAGAAACCAAGGTCACCGGCAGAAAGCAGTGACCTGGTGACCACCAAGGCTCGCTGGGGACAACTGGAAAGTCTGGTTCGCCTGGCTGGAGCGATGGGCAAGAAGGGGGTTATAGGAGCCGCAGGCAAGCAGGGGAGTTCATGAGCTTGTCCTGCTTCGCAGAGGATGGCAGCAAGAGTCACCTGCCGAGAGTGGAAGCTGTGGGTGCTTTGTATCCCCTTTTTTCCTTTTTCTCAGCAAGGAAACCAATCCCTTGGCCTGGAAACTTTCTTCTGGGCTTGTAAGGAGGTATGTCCTTCTATGCTGAAGTTGACCTGGCTGCAGTTTCCCAACCAATGTCCCATTTCTAAAGGAAACCCACCCGACAGCACTCCCTGCCCTGGACTTCCACGTGTTGGGAGTCCCCTGGGTCTCTTCGTGTTTGATACGCTCTTGAGCAAACTGCAGCTCGCTGAGCCGCAGCGTCCTGCTAACTCGCGGAGAGCGAGCATCCTTCACCGGACTGACGCACACATGCATTGCTGAGCTGCACGCAATGAGCGTGACAAACGCGTGGAAGCCCTTCGGTGCCGCTGCAGCAGATGCCAGCAGAAGCAACGGCGGCTGCACGATCCCTGTGCGCCGTTAACAGCTGCCGACCAGCGAGCCGGCTCCCGGTCCTCCCTCCGACAGGGCAGCTCGTCGCTGCCGTTATGAATGACTTCGTTTAAGCGCCTTCTGCCCACGCAGGCATTTGCAACTCCATATTCATCGGTGACCTCTCGGGGCCGTGGCGGGATTTCAAAGGGTGCTGCAGGGGGTCCAAGCTGAGAAGGGACTTGGGAAAGCCGAGGGCAATGCCCTCTTCCTTAGCTCGGTGCTTGGAAACAGAGAGCTGGATAAAAGGCATGCCATGGGGAGAAGGGGAGGGATGGGGACACAAAGAAAATTCCAGCCCTGCAGAAAGCCCTCTTTGTCTCCTTCACAGCCGCTGGGATGTTTCCGAGGCGGGATGGAGGCTGGCGTGGAGGGGCCCCACCACCGCAAACATCCCCCATCCCTCTTACGTGGAAAATGTTCCTTGGACAG